CTATTTATCTCTACAGTTTGGGCCATATCTGAATCTGAATTAGAACCATCGCTACCCTAGCACGTTTCTTTAGATCAGCTTTTTCTTTGATATTTATTTTAAAAACACGGGTCTTTAGAAATCTTATTTTCTACACTTATTTAATAGAAAACTGTATCATTCACATGAATGGAAAATCAGTATCACATACCAGAGAGAGAAAGAGAATATTAATAAATATTACCTAAGATGGAACTCCTTGACAAAGACTCCTCGTGCAAGTTCTCCTCAGAGATGTCTGGAAGGCGGGCCACCAATGCTCCTCCTAGGGCTTATAATGTCTGGGAAATACTTTCCAGGAGATTTTGTTTCAGCTTCTCCTATAGGTTAACATTCCCCTGTGATTTTCTTTTAGCTCCGCCTATAAGTGAGAGTGACATTCTTTCAGCTCCCTCTATAGGTTAGAGTGTGGGATTATGAGCCAGCACAATTTTATTGAGTGACTATTCTTTTTCAGATAAAGCGCTAACTGCTTGAGATACAGGAGAAAAGGGGAAGTAAATCGTAATCAATCATAGATCTAGAAAGGCGAGAGGGGTGGGATTAGAAGACACCCTACACAGGCTATTCACACAGTCTCCATTTCCCCGGGCACATGTATTTAAACTAAGCTCACCGGTAGAAGAGTCGCCGGGATGTCCAAATGATCAGATACAGGGGGAAATTATCAGTGTCCAAATGTTAATTGCCCTTGTTAATCACTCCCTCCTTTGCTCCACAGAAGCAGTTCCCTGCAGGTTTTTCTCCTACGTCCCGGCCACCTCTCCTTCCTTTAACCAGATACCTAAACGTTGATGATTGTCAGGATTTTTCACCCCTCCTGCTCCTCATGACCTCGCTGCTGAAGTCGGCACACATACCTTCCACCTACATTGTAAGCTAGAATCCAAACCCTAAGCACACAAAGCCAGTCCCTCTCCAGTCTCATTTTTACTTTTAACATTATTACATTTTTGTAATGGACTTTGTTCAGCCTATGTCTACCTCCATCTGCCTGATTCATTTTTCTATCCCAAGTTTGTTCAAGATTCAGTTTCAAGCCACTGAGATACATCCACTGGGGGAGCCTTAGACTCAAGATTCAGATCCAGCCTTCAGTGCACCTTCTGAGAAGCCTTCTGGAGCCACAATCCTTGCTTCTTATGCTGCAACACACCTACACAGTCCTTTTGCCTTTTTTTTTTTTTTTTTTTTTTTTTTTTAGATAAGGTTTATATTTGAGCCTGGTGGCATAAATTTGTAATCCCATCACATGGGGGGATGAGTCAGGACAACCTCAATTCTAGCACAGCTCCATGGCCAGAAAAATTCTCTCTAAAGAAACCAGCAAACAACAGAAAGACCATTTGAGCTGTAAACAGTTAGGCAGAAATTAAAAGGAACTTGTAGGTGTGTGGCTTATCCACAAGAATTTAAAATGAGTTATTTTTCAGACCCTCTTCCCCTTTTCTTTCTTCTGTAGGGGCAACAATGCAGGGAGCCACAAAGGGTTAGTCCTAGGACAGCCTTCTTCCTGAAGAAGTCCAGGTGATGGCTGGCAAAGCATACAGTAGAAAGGAGTAAATTGTTTTGTGGGGGATAAAAGAATTAGGTGTTTGAGTGGCAAGAAATGGAGTTACAAGTGTTTAGTGAGGACCCTGGAATGACTCTTGTGAAGGTGAACTGGAATTAGAGGTACTAATATGAACTCATGATTTTTTTTTCTTTTATTGAGACAGGATCTAAATAGCCTAGGCTGGCCTGGAATTCAAAATCCTCCTGCCTTAGTCTCTTAGTGCTGGTATTCCAAGTATGTGCCACAACAGAGCTCGTGATTTTGAGTAGAGATATACTTGTCTGTACATGTTTGTTTATGTGGCAGACATAATATGTACACCATGTGTTCTGAAGCCGTTAAAAAGCTGTGCCCTGGTGGCAACAATGATACCTACTGTCCTTCCCTAGTGTTTTAAACATCATTCTCAGAACGAAGCAGGGCTCCTTGGAGAAATGACTGATTCCAGGGGCCAGGACAAGGAAAGTATGAATCTGGGATATCTTGTAAACAACAGTTAAAAACACCACCCCCACTCAAAACCAGTGTATGGCAAAAGGGCATAGGAAGGGCTGCTGAGATGGCTGAGTGCTTAAGAGTACTTGCTGTTCTTCCAAAGGACCCAAGTTTTGTTGCCAGTGCCTACATTGGGCAGCTCACAACCATCCCTAACTCCAGCTCCAGGGGATCCAATGTTTCCTTTGGCCTCTGCAGGCATCCACACATTTGGTGTATATATACACACATAAATGCAAATAAATCTTTTTTAATTTAAGGAAAAGAGAAGTGTGCTTAGAGTGCTTGCACTGTCCAAATCAACAACCAAAATAATAGTGATGGAAGAAAACACACCAAATACAATAGAGCCAGTGAGTCCACACTGATGCAGATGGTGGATGGGGAAGTTCCGTTTCACAGCAGAGTGCCAGCTAACAAACATTACAGGAATGGCAGAACTAGAGTCATCCATAGGTAACCATGATATCATGTTCTGCCCACATGAATGAGTGCGGGCCAGAAGAGGGCACCAGATCTCATTACAGATGGTTGTGAGTCACCATGTGATCACTGGGAATTGAACTCAGGACCTTTGGAAAAGCAGGCAGTGCTCTTAACCACTGAGCCATCCTCTCCAGGCCTGAGGAAAGTTAATCTGAAGCATTTAATGGCAATGGAGTACACACACACAGAAGATGAGGGAGCATCCATTTAGAAAGAGTGGTAAAACAAATGTGGCTCAATATTAAAATCAAGAACTGAGGTGAAGAGCATATGGAACATCTTTGTTCTTGTAATTTTTCTGTACTTAAGAAATTATTTGAAAATGTATAGTATTTTAATAGTAAGTTGTTTATTTCCTTAAAAAATACTGAAAATAAAATCAAGTGTTTATGTGAATCATGAAGTAAAGTCTTCATTTTTGCCTTCTTATAGAAGTTTATATATAGGTTCTTTAAAAGATAAAGTTTTTGTTTCTTTTTTTAAATTTTTATTTAAATTAAAAACAATCTTATTTTACATACTAATGTCAGTTCCCTCTCCCACCCTCCCATTCCCCCCACTATCTCCCCATCCCACTGCTCAGAGGGTGAGGCCTCCCATGGGGATCATCAAAGACTTTCACGTTATTTGAGGCAGGGCCTAGCTGCCTCCCCCTTCCCCCCTCCCCCGTATCCAGGCTGAGAGAGCATTCCCTCCATAGGGAATGGGCTCCTAAAGTACATTTGTGCACTGGGGATAAATATTGGTTCCACTGCCAAAGGCCCCATAGATTGCTCAGGCCCCCTCCCCCCAACTGACACCTAGGAATTGAAAGGAAGCGAGAAATATGCCAGCATAGCAAAAGCTATCTAAACAGTTGAATATGAAAAAATACTCTAGAGAAATTGACAGATTATGTGGAGAGGTTTCTTCTGTGCTTCTAGCTTGAACTTGAATATAGCTATCTTAGTTTTTTCTCTGGGTAGAAAACCCTTACACTCAAAACTTGACCTATTCCCAGAAACAGAGAATAACTCGTGGGATATGGTGACTGAAAATAATTATCGACAGGAATAAGAGAGGCAGAGAGGCAGAGTTGTCTTTTTATACATGTATATATGCTTTATTAAATTCACATTCTTATGCTATAGACGAGGTCAACATTTCACGAAACTTTCTATTATTCCAAAAGCAGTTATCATAAAACAGTGATTTATAAGTCAGTCAAGCAAAACCAGTATCTATAGGATTTTATTATGGTTTCATTTCTTCTACTAGTTTTCAGATAGAAGCTTAAAATATATGATATAATATGAGAATAGGAAGAAAGGATTTTACTTTATAACAGTAACTACACTGCAAATATTAGACTTTATATAAAAATAAAGGGGTACTGTCAACAGAGCTCCTCTGTGAATTAGCATATTACCATCTTTTATTTCAAAACAATCCCTGCACAAACTTAGCTTTCTAGTCCACTTAAACAATATAGAGGACAATGATAGGAAAAGATGAGTTTACAAAGGAAAAGACAAGAATGTGGCAAAGGGTTGAGAGTGACATCATAGACTGGGAGTGATCCATGAATTAAAAATATGTATGAAATTGACAGAGAACAAATTTCAAACAGTTAAATTCATTAATGAAAGAGTTAGCTTAAAACAGTGAGGTGAATCCCCCTGCCTCTTTAATCTCATCATACCACTGCAACAATTTCAATTTTCCGCTCCAGCTTTACCTTGGCACTGAAATTTTAACATGCTTACATACCATCACATTTCAAAGGGTATTTCTTACCAATCCTGAATTTGGAGTCTAAATTTGGACTCAGAAGTGTCCCTTTAAGGAAATAAGACGGAAGAGGAAAGGCAGACAAATATTCTGAAAGACAAAGCCATCTCTTACCATTATCAAGGCAAAAGCCTTTGAACACGGTTCATTAACAGAGTAGATATAGCAAGTGCCATCAAAGAAACGTTTCTTTAAAATGGCACACAAGGGGACGATTCTTATAACAGCACATTTCTGTTAAGTTCGAAGGATTATGAGCTTTGCACAGGCTAAAGCAGCATGGGAACTAAAGCCATTAATAGCTGTTATGACACTGATTACAATGTAAACTTAAGAACAGACCTGATTCTATAACGGGACTGCTGCAAGCTAAGTGATGGTCTCTAATGATTAGGAGAGAGGTTTTGCTTCAAGCACACTAATTTCCAGTCTGTGAATGCCTTCAAACCACCTCGAAGGATTTTATGTTTCAAAAGACTTAAGCTTAATCATTTTCTGTTTCTTTCTTTGACTTAAGCTTAATCATTTCTGTTTCTTTCTTATGTTCACTTAAAAATAAAATATCACAATTGTAACAGGTAAATGTGACTATTAAGCAAATAGTCCACCCACCATGTTCAACATTCATGGAAATCTAACAACATGGGCATTCTACGTAGTGTCATAAATAATAATGTCACATTAGATCACACTTGGATTTCTGAAATATTTTACTCAGGAGTCTCCTCTTGTAAAAATGACAGAGCATATGTTACATCACACTGCATATACACTGCTCAGAGCTCAAGAAACAACTGGAAGCAGGGGGCACAGTATCACTAACCCTTTCAGTGCCTCAAAGCTTCCTTAGAGATACTAAACTGCCCTCTATAGGGCAACAAGAACAAGAACTGGGTTCTGACTCTACCACAACACAATAACCAAAACCAAACCAAAACAGACAACAAAAAACCACAAGTCACCACATGACAAAACAAACTCAGTGACGAAAAAGAATCAGAAAAAAAAAAAAATCAAACCAAACTGCACTCACATACAGAAAGCTTCCATTTCCACAAGACCTTATGATATATATCCCCTACAGCACAGCAATGTACCCCAAGGCACCTAAGGCCTCATAATACTACCCGAGACACTGACAGCTTCATGGACGCTTGCTTTTGTACACTGCTTTGTGTAAAGAACTATTCGTTCATTTGGAGATGCTCCACACATCTGGTCAAGGCAGGAATTTCTTCTCCTTGATAACACCACCTAGAAATATCAACAATATTTTATATATTCCTTAGGGCAGCAGGTTTGGGGAGAGAAACAGCGACTGTGGTAGCAAAGTCCTAAGAACCCTGAGGTGACTAATGCAGCACCCTGTATGTCCATTTACATTCTCCACTCTAAAATCAATCTTCACCGCATACATCCCAACAGCAAAGAAGCGATGCGGGGGTGATGGAAGCAAAGTTGCTTCCTCTCCGTGAGAGATGGAAGTAAGCAGCTCAGACAGGAAATGAAAACAAAATAATGTAGTTTAAAGCTGATGCACAACACAACGTTGATATAATCCAAAGAAATTTGATATTACTATGAAATAAAGAGATGGCAAAGTATGTAGTCAACAAAGAATTTTTATAAATCTCTCAAGCAAGAGAATTTCTGATCACCTCTGTTATGTCACTGGTAGGGCAAAGAACAATCATAGAAGCTACATATTAGTGCCCCCCCTTAAATGTTTGAAAGTAAGTGCTCTTTGAAGCACCAAGACAAAAATCCTCCAAGCAATCAAAACTGTGTATTTGAGATTTAGTTATCAAACGCAAAACGAGATCAGCCAAAACCGATGTTAGTAAAGTGACTATGCTTGCAAAATTGAACTTCAGAGGATAGAGATGCCCAGAGATAGGAGCATCACAATGGTTGTAATGTGCCAAACTTTAATCCCCATTGTGGATCAAAGTTCTCTGCATTTCCCACAGAATGTTTTATGTGGGAAATAGTGAAAACACTGTATCAGAAATGGTTAAGTCACTTGGGTGAGAGATCATCCATCAAGATGAACGAAGAGCATGAATTGGAGCATGCTACTGGAGACTGTGCGGGAGCGGTGCCTGTAGCCAGTGAGTCTGAGGACAAGCCACTGCTGATACTACTGCCATCCAAAATATCTGAACTGAGGACAAAGCAAAAAGAATTATAAGCGAATGCATGTATCAGGGTCAACATAACATGCAATGACATGAATTCAAGGACGCACACATCAGTACAGCATTGGTGAATAATAAAAAGCATAAAGGCCACAGCAATGAAATGCATAATGTACTATGTTGAGGAAATTGATAAAACCATGGAAACCCAGAGTATGACTCATAATCTGTATAATTTGACCATCCCCTTGGAGGCATCCGGCTATGTAACACACGATAAGTGTTCCTCTTAACATGCCAAGGTTATTGTGAGGGAGTTCCTGACCTTCTGTCCAAAAGATTCTGTCCTCTTATTTATCTTCCTACTTTTCTTGAGCCTTGCGGCAGGAATAACTGATGTTTACTAAGGTACCTATTCCCAAACTACCTTAAGTGTCTTCAGGCACAATACTTTACTCTTTCAACTGCCCTAAAATAAACTTCAATGAAAGTATTTTAAAAATGTTTTTCTCCTCTAATTACATACCTTTCCTATTCTTCCCATGTTGTCAATTTCTTATACTATTTCTTCTCAGACCCAAGGGTCTCCATGCTATCTGTGAAAGACTCCTTTTCTTACACCGTTCAGTTTCTCTCCGGTTAAGCTTTTAAAATGTTCCCTCCTCGTGGTCCCCATCATGTCTCTTTAATCCAAACAACTGGCCTCTGTTCTCATCCTCCCAATAAAAATGATTTGGACACCAAGCACCTCTATAAGCCATCCCAGGATAAACTTCCCACACAGCCCAGATGCTCAGTGTTCCCTGAAGTCAATCTGGCCTGCCTTAAACCCTGGCTTCTTTGTACTTGAGATGGAATCGAGGACCTCTGCTTGACTTCAAGCCACCTTTCTTGCTGCAATTCTTAGGGGTCATGGTTCTATGCTTTATATTTGCCTTGAATTGACTCATTCACTTATTCTAATATTTACTAAGCCCCAGACAAGTGTAGCAAGCAGGTAGCTTCTTGAAGGATAATGGTACAAAGGACAGACAAGTTCCCCAGCTTCACTGAACATGCAGGATAGTGGGGGAGACAGAAATGTAAACAATCAGGTTCATAAAAAATGATTACATTTTGTGATGTGAGTGATAAAGGGGGAAACAGAGGACTGTGAGAGTCTTACACATGGGCAACCTGCTAACCTGGAGGATTTGTGAAAGGGTTCTCAAAGACGAGATCTGTGCTTTGATGGGAAAGATGAGTAGGCATTAACTTGGGAAGGTGTAGGAAGAAGCAAGGATGCTTCTGGGAATTAAAAGCTGGCAAGTACAGAGACAGTATAGAGTCAAGAGAACACAGTGAGAGCCAAACTGCAGGAGCAGTCTGGCAGTTTAAGTTCACACAGACACTTTTTTTTTTTATGTGTTCAAATGGAAGAAAAACATAGAATTAGAGAAGGAATTATGACTCAAGGAAATATGAGTTCTAGTCTGTCACTAGCTTCTTTGCAAAACCCCACTTTGTCCTAATACAGGCAATCAAAACTCTAAGTATTTAATATTATTTTTGTAAGTTTCTAAGCTGATATATTTCCAATGCAAAGGAGTTTACAGTATATGTGTAAGTCTTGAGCCTACACCATCCCCCTGAAAAGCAAGTTTCCTCTCCTGCTTTTCTACTCCTATTTTTTAAATGTCATTTAGGGATGGGACCCAGGCTCTCAGACATGGGGGGACCACTGGAGCTATACCACAGTCTCCTCTGTCATCTCTTTCTATTGCCTGTAGGTTGTTTTTACATGAAGACAGATTATGAATAGGTTTTGGAAAAGTAAAATTAAAAAATGGAAACAGTATATGCCACATTGCTCCTACACTATGTCCAGTCTGTCAAATGCATCATTAATAATACCACTTTTAAGGAAGAAGTCTGGAAAACTTAGCTCTCATATTTGTTCAACCACATGGCAAACTGGTCCAAAAATATGAATTATTCAACAACTGAAAAAAAAAGTTCCACAGATAATCCAAGACATTGGGAAATCAAAAGGACCTTTCTGTTTGCCTTTGGAACATATGTGAATTTTCCTCTGCAGCTTTTTGCCTAGACTAATATTAAAATGAATTTACTTTCCTAAAGCACACACTGGCTGTGCAGCACAAGGACATGTTCTATGTCATTTGGCAGGAAGAAAGAGACTTAGATTAATACATGGCCACCATGCAAATAATCTGAGGATAAAGAATTCTTTATTGCAAGCACCAGAATGACAGTGAGCCCAGGATTAGAAGATTTCATCTGGCTGGGCGTTGGTGGCACATGCCTTTAATCCCAGCACTTGGGAGGCAGAGGCAGGAGGATCTATCTCTGTGAGTTCGAGACCAGCCTGGTCTACAGAGAAAGTTCTAGGACAGGCTCCAAAGCCACAGAGAAACCCTGTCTTGAAAAACAAAACAACAACAACAACAAAAAAGAAGAAGAAAAAGAAAGAAGATTTCATCTGTAATACCACCTGCTCACTTAGGTGACATTTGTTATTATTCCAAATAAGACTGTGTTTAGAAATGATTTTCTAAAATTGTTAATCAGTTAAGAAAAAAAAGATGATAGAGACATTACTAATAGAAAAACTAAGCATTTCAAAATGTCTTCTTCAGCATTATACACAAAAGTCTCTATTTTTTCTCACTATAAGTAAAAATGGCATAAGTACATTTTGTCTCCACAGCAATTTAGCTTCACAACATAGCAAAGCTTAACTTAGTTCATTGCCACTGAACTAAGAGCTGGTTTCTGGTCTAGTTAATCAGAAGCCACAGGTCATATCACCCCATTATTAGGTCCTTGTGTAACTATGGAATCCACAGAGATTACTGCGTGAAAGTAATTTTTATTGCTCACAATCACAACTTATGCCACAGCTTCTAAAAGGAAGGGTCCTCCTGTCCAATTTGAGTTTCTTATTTTTTATGTAATATCTGATGGGAGTGCTAATGATAATGAGCCTTATTTCCACTAGTGGCCAAAAGCCAGATAATCATAGGAAAGCAAGGGTAACTCAGACTAACCACAGGACTAACAGAATTGAAAGTGAATGGATCCATACAAACCACTCTTATATAAATATATATTAAAAATAAGCTAGGAGGACTGGTGATATCGCTCAGTGAGTAGAGGCACTTGTTGCTAAGCCGGATGACCCAAGTTCAAAGAACAGAACTAACTCCTGAAAGATGTCCTCTGATCTCCACATGTGTATGCTTCCACACAAATAAATAAATAGACAATTGTAGAAGAATAATCTAGACACGGTGACACATGCCTGTAATCCCAGCATTTCAGAGACAAAGTGGGAGCATAAGAAGTTCAAGGTCATCCTTGGCTACATAGTGAGTGTAAGGTTAGCTTTGGATAGTGAGTAAGAATTCTGTCTCTAAAAGCAAAACAAAAACATTAAAAATAATGATTGCTAGAGTGTGATAGCACATGCCTGTAGAACCAGAACTCATTACTTTCAAAAGTAGACAGGGATACATACTGGATTTTAGGCTAGTCTGGACTATGTAAAAAGACTCAAACTATAGAACTAACTCAAAATGTTAAAATTAAACATTATGCCAGGCAGCAGTGGCAAGTATCTTCAATCCCAGTATTCGGGAGGGCAGAGGCAGTGGATCTCGAGTTTGAGGCCAGCCTGGACAGCCAGGGTTGTACAAAGAAACCCTGTCTCAAAAAAGCAAGCAAGCAAAGAAACAAACAAAAACTAAGCATCACATCAAATACTGATGCACTGGGCAAGAAAACGTGAGAATTTTCCCTTTTACAGACAAAACAGGTTACCACTTAATCTGCACCACATGGCTAGGGACCCCGAAAATGCCTTTGTTTGCTTTGCAGTGCTGCAGACACACGCAGTCTTATTTCCACTGAATGAGGAACAAGAACAAAAGGGAAATTCTTAATATGAAAAACAAAAACAAAAAACTCAAAGTACAAAACAAGGCATACTTCTGAGATGTGCTCAAACTCTTGATGTTCACAAATACTAAACGTAAAATGACATAATTCCAGCTTTGTGGTATTGATGTTCTCCACATTGTGTTGACAGTGATTTCAGGATTTTTTTTTTAGGGGAAAAAGTGGAAATAAAAAGTATGCCCAAATGGACACAAGCCCTAAATGGGTTCACATTCAATATTCTAATTTAATTTATACTTCAGAGATGTCAAAATTTAAAGATTATTAACTAACACATAAACTTTAAAGACTATAAAATGTGTCTTTCCCTTTGCTTTGTGGGATGGGACAAAGACTAAGAAAAGTTTAAAAAGATGAGATCATATGTGTACTAGTTGTAAGATCTTTGAGCCACTCTCTAACAGAGAGCAAAAGAAAGTTTCCTTACTTTCACTATCAAGTAGACTGCCATCTTTAGCAATAGAAATCAGGACACAGGTGGCTCCTACCTCTGGCCCGATTTCTAAGAATACAGACATATGATTTTGACCAGTGAAATTGCATTAAGAGACAGAAGATTCTGTAAAAGTAGAATCCAGATTCGTTATTAAAAGTAACTCACACAAAATTCCTTCTTGTATGTCAGCATCCTTAGTATATAAGGTGTCCTGCAGATCTTAACACAATTGTAAGCTTTAAGAACCTTTGAGGTGCCATTTAAAAATGTTACTTGTAAACTAATTAACTACCTTTGGAAAGGCTTGTGTGTATAGTACATGCATGAGTGTGCATATGAATAGTCATGTCTGTCATTGTTCATGTAGAGACCAGAGGAGGATGCTGGGTCTCCCTGGGCCTTATCTCTTGAGCCAGGATCTCTCACTGAACCTGGAGCTCCCAGTTTCTTAGCTATGCCAGCTAATCAGCAAGCTGCAATGATGCACCTATTTCTTCCCTCAACCCCCAGCACTGAAGTTATAGGTATATGTGGCCATGCCTGGCTTTTATTATGTAGGTGCTGCAGATCTGAACTTGGGTTCTCATGTTTGTACTTCATGTACTCTGACCCACTAAGCCATCGTTTTAGTTATTGGTTTTGTTTTGTTTGGAGGAAGAAGGAAGGTCTCACTCTGTAGCTCAGGCTGACCCAAAACTCCTAGACACTATGATCCTTTCATTTATTATTAAAATCTATGTCTACAGAACTCTCACAGCTACTACAGGTTTACTCATGGTTCTATAGCTATGCTGATAAAAGATGGGTGCCCACACAAGGAATGGGCCCACAAGTAAAATATACTGTGCCTTTTCCTTTTTCTTTCTTTCTTTTCTTTTTTTTTTTTTTTTGGATTTGGTATTGCTGTGGATAAAACCAAGGGCCATGAACATGCTAAAGAAGTTCTCTATCACTGGGCTATGCCCCCTTCTGGTTTTCCTTTGCTGGATACACACTATATAGTTCAGGTGATGTAGCTTAAGCAATCTACCTCAGCCTCCATTGTGCTAGGAGTATAGGAATGTGTTACCACAACCTGTTCCCTATCTTTGCATTCTAATTTGCATGAGCTTCTTTTGTTATTTTGTGGCAATGTAAAAAAATTATATATATATATATATATCATCATGCATTTTTTTACCATGATGGAAGTGGAATACATAGCTTTTTACAAGTCAAATGTGCACTCTATCACTGAGCTATACACCCAGCTCCTCATTCTCCTTGTTTTCTACTTGGCAAATTGTGGTGAACTTTTTCCTCACTGGATCACTTGATAAATAACTGGGTAAGCAAATCTATTTATAGTCATGTGCCTATACTCACTTTACCATAAAAGCCACATGCACTTTACACCAGGTATATAGTTTCATCCACTAGTCCTCTTGACAAGCTTCAGGAATTGCTCTTTGCAATCTCTACATATCTGGGAGGACACAGTGTACCAAAATTAGCAATTGAGCTGCACAGGACACACAGAGACAGTGGAAGATACAAATAGGAACAATCTAAAAGGCATTTCAACCGTACCAGTCAGCAAGCCTCATAAGTGACAAGAAGTTGGGACTTGTTCACCTAGAAGTACAACTTATCTTAAACAAAATGATATACATGCAATTTGGGAAGAAGAAATTGTCAACCCTTACAGCAGTGAGTGGCTTTTATATTTCTTCCATTTAGAGGGTTCCATTCTATTTTAAAAGTAAATGGCCTTGTGAGTTTTTAAAAAAGGACTCTCAGCTATGAAATTCAGGGCTTGAAAAGTTCTAAAAGGTGTTACACATATATAGAATATGTATATGTAGAATATGGATACTCAGCAAATTGACTGAAGCATCCTGAAAGATTTCAAAATATTACCTTGGAACTGCTACTATGCCTTCCTCCTAGATGTCTGTGAGCATCTTGCTCAACTTTAAGAATAGGAAAAGAAGTCAATTCTCACAAAATACTGAAAACCCTTCTGTTACAGACCTAAACTAGAATGAGAAAGACCATCAGTCATGTGACCTGGACCATAAGAATTAGTAACTGTTACTATAAAACTGTACATTTAAGCTGGGGTACTTGCCCATGGTCCCAGTACTCAGAAGGTTAAAGCAGGAGAGATGTAAGTTCTGGGTCAGCCTGGATTACACAGCATTGTGACCGACTACTAAAATTTTCTAAAAAGATTTTATCATGCTGGGCAGTGGTGGTACAAGCCTTTAATCCCAGCACTCTGGAGGCAGAGGCAGGCAGATCTCAGTGAGTTCAAGGCCAGCCTGGTCTACAGAATGAGTTCCAGGACAGCCAGGACTGTTATACAGAGAAACCCTGTCTCAAAAAACAAGACAGAGATAGATAGATAGACAGAGAGAGAGAGAGAGAGAAATATTTTATCACAATAGATCACATTGCTTAGCAAATACCACAGATAAAATGTTTTGAATATGAAATGTCCTCTGTCAGCTCATGTGTTGAAGGCTTGGTTGCCTGGGTAGTGGAGCTATTTTGGATAGTGGCAGAAACTTTAGGAGAAGGACCCCATCTGGAGCAAGGAAGCTATTGGAGACTGTACATGAAAGTCATACCTTATCCCTACTCCCTTTTCTTTCTGCTTCTTGGTTTCCATGATGATCTGCATCACCACAGGCCCAGAACCAAGAGAGCCTGAGAACTACAGACTGGAACTTCTGAAACCATGAGCTGACATCAATCCTTCTCCCTTGCTCATGCCAAGGAACTGGTCATAATGAACAAAAGTTTGACTGATACAACCAGTTAAGAGAAAGCAGCCATCTCTTAAATTCAAAAGCATGGAATATGAAATGCAAGCAGAACAGTGATAATCAATATGCATTTCTCCACACTCACCCAAAGGCTCTTTCTTACACCAGTCAGCTGATGACACTACACCACCCTGAAGCTAAGAACAAAATAAAGGGGCAAAACGGGTGTACTTGGGACTTTCAAAATGCCTAGTCATTCAATATCATCTTCACCTATGTGAGTGTGGGTTACTTTTACATTATTTCAATATTATTTCAATGTGGTTCTTTTTTTAACATGAGCCATAGACTAATAGTTTTTTTATTTTCATTTCATTTTTACCATGAACTGAGATCAGACAATTGCGCAGCATCTCCAGACAGCATGTTGGCGGTGCCTTGGAAGAGTCTCTTAGGCTGGCTTTCTGTCTCCATTTCCCCTACAACACAAGAAACGTAGCTCCCATAAACCAATTTCACAAATGCAGACTGCTGCTAAAATGAGGAGGATATCTGTTCAGACAAAGTTCAGAACTTCAAGCTATTACATGAAAGTTCCCAAATGTGCCTGGAGTCTAGAGTTCCAGAGATGAAGGCGGGAAGAACGAGAGTTAAGCCTGGGCTATGTAGCTACTTCCAGGTTAGTTCTTTCAAAACAGCTCCCTCTTAAAACAGTGACCTTCTTGTGTGCTTTAACATGAGACAGATATGCTATTTTATACCTTGACCAAAAAGTAATAGCTTACACACACACACACACTTTAATAAAAGAGAATACTGATTTTATCAGGCAAAAGTACGTATTCCCAAACAGTTAAAACTCACAGTGAATATTTTATGACTAGCAAAGTGTATTTATTTTGTATCTTTCAATATCTTAACAGGACAGCAATAAGATGTATTTTCTGATAGTGTAGAAATAGGAGGTTGAGTTAGGTGATATACTAAATATAAAACTATAATTGAAAGTACACCTGAAAGCAATAACAGTAATTCAGTTCACAAACTCGGAGTTGTACTGGTTTACTCAACCCTATAGATTTTCACTGAATCTGTAATTATAAAACATGGCACCAATGTTTGCCTCTTCTCCTCTGCCCCAAGCTCTGTTTTTATTTCAAACATGCATATTCCTTGGATTTGATGGATTTATCTGAGCTTGAAAATAGAATGGGAAAGACAATTTAAGATAAATATGGTAATGATGTCTATAATGCCAGCATTTGGGAGGTAGAGACAGGAACATAACCACCAAATTTGAGAGTAACTGCACTACCCAGAATGCCACATCAGCCTGTACTACAGAGTGAAACCCTGTCTCAAACAAGCAAGAAAGTTTGAAAAAACTAAACCTACTGAATTTAGGAGCCTTGCTCCACCTCAGTAGGACCATGGAACTGAACTTAAGATTGTATGAACTACTTATGACCAAAAAAAAGATAGAGAAAGCAAGAACACATGTAAACCTTATTTACCCTATTATGAATTAAAGAATATTAATTTTTCTTCTTGAGCTATTGTAAAAGTTATTGAAATCCACCAAAGTTATATTTTTTTTATTTGCTTTGTTCAGTGACTCTTTTAAAGTGTGTAGGGTTTTAAACTCTAGCAAAGAATCTCTCCACCTACTGGTAGATTTTGGAATAGCTACTAAACAAACAGCAATTCCAGTAACTTTCTAGACAGATTTTACATTAATGGTAACAAAAATAATAACTTTAATGTATACTTTTATATAATACTCCTGAGAACATTCCTGAGGTTATGAATGATTCCTTGCAAGACTAAATAAAAGAACTTGTTACTAAATATAAATATTATCATTATATCAAGACTTACTTTCCAAAGCATATCATCTTTAAGATTTTTTTATAATTTCATATATAATTTTCATCACCAATTTCCCTTTCCTACTCTCCCTGGGTCCTCTACATCCTCATGTTCCCATTCTAATTTCATATTTTCATGATTTGTTTTATAGCCTACTAAGTCCAATTAGTGTTGTTCATATGTGCATGGGTTTAGGGCCATCCACTGGAATATGGGCAAACTACCAGTGTAGTCCTGGGTAGTCTAGAACTCACTGTGTAACCCCACCTGGCTTCAAACTTATTGTGATCCTCCTGCCTCTGACTTCTGATTTTAAACCCCCCAAGTAGCAGAGGAGGGATGAAATAGGGCAGTGAGGGAGAATCATCATAAATTAAGTAAGCATACACGCCATAAAGGAACCCTTATTTTCTATGCTGATGAAAACGAAAGAAAATTATATGAATATGGTAGCACCTACCTATAATCACAACATATGGGAGACAGAAGCAAAATGACTAAGAGTAAAGGCCATTCTTGGCTATGTAGTGAGTTCATTGCCAGCCTGGGTGACATAAGACAAAATAAAACAAAAACACTAATAATAAAAAAGAAAATAAAATGTTACCTGGCTCTTCCAATCATACAGTCAAATGGCCAGGAATAATGACTAAACTGATATCAAATATCTCTGCCCTGTAACGGACACTACCAAGGGCTTTACATAAACATATAAAACTACTGCTGACTGAGAAAACTTCAGTGCTTTGTGGTTAAAAATGGACAACTGAGAGAGCACGCAGACACATCACAATCTTTACCAACATGACTCTTGGATAACTCGTACTTTGCTGATGGGGAAGTAAACCCCCTTTGAGCAAACTCCATGTGTGGAGATCTATTTGCTATATCAGTATATATTTCTGCACACATGTGCATCTCTCATACTCAGATCACTGAAAGACAATTATTCATATCAATAATGTGAATATAAGAATATTATTCAGATATAGACAACATAAAATAGTTAATTTATATAACTTAGAACCTATAGAGCATGTGTTTAAAATGTTTAATATTTCTTTAGAAAAAAATTAATTCAGACAAAAACTCTAGTTTCTAATTCAGTCTTGGCTAAATTTATATCAGAAGTGTGATGAATTCTTTACCCCAATACTATTACGATGAATGTATACATACTTAGTAAGGTGTACAATATCATGATGTACTACATATACAAATATACTTACCTTTTCTTCTGGTGTTTTATAAGAACATTTAAAATCTGCTCTCTTAGTGTGTTTAAAGCATCTAGCACAATGCTATTAACCATAGTTGCCACATACCTTTTCTCTTAAGAGGACCAAGAACACTGGGCCTAATGCATTTCACTGGACTCTGACTCCTCCTGCTTTGACAAATAAACAAATAGAGTGATATGAAGTTCTTCCGAGATTACAGGCTATCAGCATTAGAGCCCACCATATAAATAACATGGATGGCCATAAAGTCGGAAATACCAAGTGCTCATAGTGTAGGGTGATTTGAGTCAGCATATGGTGATATGAAAAATCATGACATTTTATTCATTAAAACAAATATTCTCTAAGGCAAAATACCCACAATTGCTTAAAGAAAAGTGTCTCATGAAAAAAATTTGTTTGGAATTTCATCTATAACCTCTTATCTTTTAAAAGGGTGTTAGTATGATAGTGAGTGAGTGTGTGTATGTGTGTGTGTATGTGTGTGTGTGTGCATGTGTTTTCTCTGAACATAAATCAACATTAAATACTGAAGATGTAGCTTAGTGATAGGGTTTGCCTAGCACTCAGGAGGCTCTTGGTTCAGGCCTCAGTATCACAATCAATCCATCAATCAGCATTAAATCTCAAACACGGAATCTTGTAAAATGTTAATGCCTCAATATAAGTGGTGAGCATATGGTTGTTCTTATGAAGTTCTAACTATTTTGATGTATGTATGAAACATTCCATAATAAAATTAGAGGAAAAAAGTAATGAGTGATACTCCAGTCACATTCCCCCCCATTCTGTCTCTCTCTCTCTCTCTCTGTGTGTGTGTGTGTGTTATGCCTGCATGTGCACATGCATGTACAAGTTCATGTGTCTGTGTGGTAATGCTTTTAGGGTCTATCCCTCTCTACTTTATTCCTATGAGACAAGGTCTCTAAATCTGGAGCTAGGGTAAGCAGCCAGCAAGCCTGAGCTACCCTCCTGTCTCAACCTCCCAGTGAGGTTACAGGTGTTGAGTGGCCATGAGGAGCTTTACATGTGGATTCAATGATCTATTTTCACATCCTCATAGTTGCAAGCACTTTTATGCACTGAGCCATCTTTCCAGTCCCTACATTTAACATTCAAATCCACTTACCTTGAATAATGTGTTGGATTCGAAACAGGACTTGGTGGCATGCCACTGCTACTCACAAACATTTGCAAGGATGGCGAAAAGCACTGCTAGAGAAAGTACATGGACTATTAAAACAGTTACAGCACATCAGTTTTCCAAGGTGCTCTTCTTTTGTTGTTGTTTTTCTTTTGAAATATGACAGAAGCGGCATAGCTATGCCAGGGCCTCCTACATATGACATTTTCCCCATTTACTTCCATGGGTTTTTATTACTTGTTCTAGTCTATGGAGACTTTGAAAGTGAGCTGAATTGTGTATATAGATATATATTTTAGAATAAACAGCTCACTGTGAAAAAGACAGTTAATAACTTGTTGACAATATCCTACCTTTCCAAATCCTCTGGTTGGGGAAGGCGCCGGAGAAACTGGAGTGAAGTCAATTCTCTTGGGAGAATATAATTTCTCTGACTTGTCAAAATCACTATCACTCTGTAAATATAAAATATTGCCGTCATTCAGCATATCGCAGATCTCATATACTACAATAACATACCAATATTCTGAAGAGTAGAAATGGACACATTCAAACATTTTTCTGGTAAAGCAGAGATCAAAACTAAGGGTCACTCTGGAAGCAGGAAGCCTACCATGTATGAAAGAATCTACCAAGTCAGTTGAATAGCACAAAGATTTCTGGAAAGTTACATAACAAGCACACATGGGAACACTTTACCAGGCTCAAGCTTTCATCCCATGACTGGCTGATCTGCATTCCTGCTTGAGCTTCCCTAAAAACAAACAAACAAACAAACAAACAAAAAAACAGTCAGCAGAGTTCACAAACTTGCTACATGAGGCGAGGCCCTGCCCTTGCCAACCACTGACCTTTCATGGGAAGTTTCTCTGTTCATCATATCCAGGCCTTCTTCCTATAAGGAGAAGCACATTAGTAAGTCATAGTTTTCAGCTATGTTCTTAATAACAGTGAAATACCTCCAGGGAATCGGAGCTACCATTCTTAGATTGACAGCCATGTCTTATCAGTATTTTAGAGCAGACTTCGAAGAAGTATAATGCGTCTGGTTAACTGGAGTGGCATCTTCACTGAGTTTTAAGATTTTAGTCTTTAATTTCTGACCTGAGCTAGTAAGTTAAACGTAAACATTCACTACTTTGTGCATCACAAACCATCAGTCACTGTCAGTATTAGTGGACAACCTCTTCCTGCATAATTCTTCAAATTCTTAGAAACTTAGCTCTCCAAACCCCTAAACATTAATACACTAGAGGCAATGCATGCAGTCTTTAGAAAGCGCACCAGGTGTCCAACCTCAAAGCACCATCTGTCGCCAGACAGGCCCCGACTTTAGCACTTTTCCCAAATGAATCGAAAGCTGTATAAATTTAAGGGGGAAAAAAAGACTGGGCCTTGGAAGTATTCATTATTCCACTAAAATAAGGAGCTATGTTAAATAGGAAAGAAAAAAATGCCAATGGTATCAATTTTTATTACTGATGCACTAATGAGTAAAGATAGGCTAACAAACCTGGCACAACATTTTGTATATGATTAATGTTCTCAAAAATACTTTAAAATGGCAAGAACATTTTGCTTCTATGCTGTAAATCATCTCTAAGGTTTGATTTCTAATGCTATCTCTACAAACCATAAGAGTTAAAGGAAGATCAGCTTCAAGGAAAGACTGTTCACCTTGTATGCACACTGCCTAAGCCAAGATCAATGAAAGAAGGTAAGGTTAACCTTCAAAATAATTGCTGTTTCCTTTATATCATCTTTTCCTCTCTTTCAGACAGGATTTCATATAGCCCAGGCTGGCTTTGAACTCACTATTTAGCTAGATGATGATGACCTTGCATTTCTGATCCTCCGGTCTCCACCTATTGAATATCTGGTGTGTGGAGTACTGGGGATGAGCCCAGCCAGGGATTCATGCCTGCCAGGCGAGGACTCTATCAATGTTCTCAAGCCCTCATTTTTTAATATCACAAAATTGAAATGATTTGGAGGCGAAATTATGCTCCTTCAAAAATAATCACAATCTTGTCACAGAATGTAAACTGTAATTCAAATAAGTGGATCTCACGAAATTGTAATAGCTATAATGTAAATAATGGTTATTTTCTCCCAAGAAATACAAAGGAACATGCAAGAGTATCAAATCAAACAAGACAATTATTCTGCTCAAGAAGCCTTATGCTATTACAACTTTAAAAAAATCCACAACTCTAATGTGAGCAGTATAACAATGGGCTTCCTAGGCAAAAGCTAATTCAGGTAAAATTACCCACTGAGAAATGTTTTTCCTTATAAGATATACCCCCATTACCCACCCCTTTTATATTTTTCTCTCCTATGTTTTGGAAAGCTTTGCATAAAATCCTTTGTAAAGTCATCTCTTGCATTATGAAAGCAACACATGTTTAGCAGTGAACTTTTAATGAATTTGTTCAAAAATTATAAACTATCAGGTAGGATTACTCTAACAGGCTGATGTAGACGAGCACACATGTGTCATCTAGAGAAATAAAGAACCCGTGTAATACAAAAAAAGAGAAACCCAGTGACAGATATTGAGGTTCGAGTCAAAGTGAGGATGGCCCCAAACTGTGGAGCAAGTCAGGAATTTAAACTCAACATTGATTAAACATACTTCTCAATCTTAGACAAAACTATAAAGTGGCTCTGAACCAGAGAGAGATAAAAACAGAACTATGTCTAGAACCAGAAATAAGAATAATTTATCAGGTGAAAAAAAAATCTTCTAAGAGCTTTAGGGAAATGCTGGCTAAACGGTGTTAAGGAAAGCAAAGAGCCCAAGTGGGATAAGAAACGAGCCCCCTGACACAGACAATTAAGTGGGCATTAGTGACATTTTCAAGGGCATCCTTTAATGGAGTTGTGGTAGAGGCAGCAAGATTACCAACTAGCGGGAAATTAGGAGACAAGGAGCCAGATAGTCAAGGCGAGATTATTCTTTGAAAAAGGCCAGGGAAGGGAAAGGAAAGGACAGACTTACATGAAGGAAGACCATTGTCCTAGACAATATGAGGAAAAGGTGGGAGCCAAAGATTTCGAGAAGAGACTGAGGGGACAAGACAGGAGACAATGGCTACACCAAGTGACAGGGGCCTCGGAAAACATATTAACCACCAGGGAGTAGCCCTGTATGTGAAGACAAAGGCACTCTAAGGAGAAGAAAACTGCTCTTATAAAAGACAGGTGTCAGGGCTAGAGAGAGGCTCAGTGGGGAGAGCTACTGTTCTTGCAGAGGACCTAGGTTCAATTTCCAGAAGTCACATGGCAGCTCACACCTGTCTGTGATTCCAGTTCCAAGAGACCCAACACCCTCTTCCGGCCCCCATGGACTGCTAAATGCACATGGTGCACATATATGAAGTGCAAGCGCAAACATATATTAAATAAATAAATAAATAAATAATTTTAAAATGAAAAGACAGGGGACTATTTTATGTGTGAAATGAGAAGCGTCTTTGGCTAGAACAGTGGTAAATCAGGAAGCCAGCAGAGAATAAACAACAAGGATTTAGACTATGGTGTTGGAGAACAGCACTGAACCAGTGGTACCTGAGCCCCCTGAGAGAATTAATCTTGCTTTTCAAACTACCCGTCTCTCCAACTTCTCTCCTTGTAATCAGGGTACTATCACTCCTCTGGTCACAATGAAACACAATTTTAGTCAGCTGGAACCCTCCTTCTCCCATAATTGTTATTTTAAAAAGTTGTAATGCTGTAAGGTTGCTTAAGCAGAATAATTGTTATGTTTGGTTTTACACTCACGTTCATTTGTATTTCTTATGGAAAATAGTAATTATTTACATTATGACTGTTACAATCCTGTAAAAAATCCATGGTTTGAATTATATCTTACACTTCGTGACAGGACTATGATTATTTTGAAGGAATGTAATTTGGCCTCCAAATCAACTGTTAGCAAGTATTAGCAGACCTTTGACCCAAACGTATCACTTCTGATTTGCTGCCTCGAACACACCACTGAGATGGAAGCTTACTAAAATTGTGTATAAATTTTAGATGATTCACATATATCTAATCAGTTGGCAAATTATGGAGAGCCTATCTCTCTGCTTGTCTTTTTACCATCTCATCCTTTCCATTTCATTTGCCAACAATTTACTCTTTGCTTGTTACTATGGGACACGGATGAGCACATTAAGATTTATACAGTGTGCTGTAATATTAGTATAGAGTGTCATTAATAGCATAATGGTGTGGGAACGTGTACAAAGGAGATATAAGGATTAAAGTAGGTTTTGAAGGAGCAAAAACTCGAGAAAGGAGAACGATGGGGTTGATGGGCAGCATGAGGATCAGTGAATTACCATGGCCCTTTAGAAAATGAGGCAGCCAGAGAAAGGGATGGGGAGTAATGACAGATGAGCCTAGACCAGAATGGATAAGAATCTTCACCTCTTATAAAAGAGCTAAGTGAAGTGTAGAGAGGCAAATTCGTTTTTCCCGTCTTGGCTATGCTTCTCTTATCAGCAGCACAGCTGTATAACACGTAAGAACATTTTTCATATACCCAACAAAAATAAGTAGTTATATTTTCAAGTACCGTCAGGGAAGCAGGTGAAGCGAATCCAACCTCTAGATAGCTAACATCCCCTCTAAGTATTTTTAGCCAGTTCAGTCGCAATCCTTCTAAAATGTGCTATAGTGTGTCCCTTTCTCAAATATGTTAGACCAAACAGAAAGGCACTGGGAGATCTCAAGTCCAGGGCCAGCTCTGTCACTCCTGTGTGATCCTAAGCACGTCACTTGTGTCATGAGTCCGTTGCAACTGCTCACGATTGAGCAAAAACTACCTCATGCCTTGTCTCTTTTCTACTTTGTGGAGACTGTTACATGAACTGAATGAATGAAAGGACTTTGTAGCATGTAAAACATCATCAAAATGTAGGCGTTCATGAAAATGAAGAAAAGGTTAATGAGCAGGGACCCTTTCCTTAAGAACATTACCATATGCTTCCATACAAGTGACACCCTCGGGACTATCAACAGGATCTGAGCCCTTGTACCAAACCACAAACTATTGGGAGGGGGAAAAAATCCTGTCTGCCGCTCTGCTTTTCCCTCCTCTCTTGCTAGCAAGGATTAGCAGACCTTTAACCCAAATGTACCTCTTCTGATTTGCTGCCTCGAACACACCACTGAGTTGGAAGCTTATTATAATTGTGTATAAATTTTAGATGATTCAGGGGTCAGAGAGGGAGGCTGTCCTATAAATAAATGGATGAACCTTTGTGCACAGACTGTGGAAATCTAGTTCAGCCATTTAGAGGTCGGTGTGCTTACATCTCAGCTGTGTAAAAGCTGCCGAGTGAGTGAACCCTGCATGTGAAGTGCTACTATATAAAAAGCTCTTCATAATTTCCCCAGTGCAGCTATCTAATACAGCGATTCCCAACAGCTCTGGCTACAGAGAAAAGACACACTCATCCACTCTTCTGGGAATATAAATGTATTTTCCAGGGGTCTTTATTTTAGACAACCAGTGTTATCTGACAGATGAGTGTCAGAGACACTCTGCCACTATTTAAGTGATTTTTTTTACATCCTATGACAAATAAAGACCATGGTTCTCGGCTATATTTGGAAGTTATTCCTGATTTACCTCACAGCTGTGACGCACGTAGAAATAAATAACAAGGAGTAATTTTTACAAATACAAAGTCCTACACCAAGCAATTTTAAGCCCCCCACAACCCAGTGTGTGCATACCAAATGCTGAATGGTCAAGGCAAAGCTGGTAAACAAGATGGGGAAAATAAATCTTTTTTTTTTTTTTAAAAAAAAAAATGTGCACAGCACATAATTTCCCAGCAAGAGCTACATTTGAAAGTATTCCCTCCAATCTAAATCGCTGCACATACTTACTTTGATACTTACCAAGCTATGATGGCTCATAATTGTCGTACTGTTCCTCCGAGTTCTAAGTGGATATGGCTCAAAAACCTGTGAAAGGTCACTGAAAAGTAAAAAGAAAAATAAAATAAAATAAAATAAAATAAAAGGATTAGCGTCTCCTAAAGGAAGCTGTCTGTCAACTGAGCTCAACACCCTCCGATCTGTAATTAACAATGAACTCTTCAATGGCTCATCATTTCCTCCAGCTGAGGACCTCCTTACCGTCCTCTTCGCAGGCCAGTCTCAAGTGCTACACCCTCTGCTTTTGCTAGATACTTATCTCCTCAGTGCTTAGGGGACAGCTCTGAGAGGAGTAGGGCGGAGCTCCAGACTGGTTCATTCCAGCTGCTTCAGGTCAGAACTATACCCCCAAACCAGTTCCTGTCAGATGTGAGCAGCTCATCTCTTTACCCTAGAGAACCATGAGGATTACTCACTGGTTTGTGTGCTACTCTGAGAAGAGCTAGGGAGCCCATTCTTAAACCCATTCTCATCAACATGTCTGCCCCAAGCACTGGCTCTACTGCTCTATCTCTGAATCCCCACGTCCAAGGGAATAGATAAACTTGAAAAGGTTTGCTTTTTCTCCTTTTTGTTCATGTTTCCCCTTTGACCTCACACACCCTACCATCATCTGTCAAAATCCTTCCTCTCCTTCCGCACCTATCTCAAAAGCCTTGCTTCCATGACGGCGTAGCACAAACTTCTCCTCATTCCACAAACATAATGCAGTCAACCCCACTTCAAACTCAAAGAAGCTGGGAGATGCAAGCTTCTTGAGACAGGGCCTTGCTTTTTAAAGACATGGTTTTGCTATGTTGTCCATGCCGGTCTTGAACTCCTGGGCCCAAGCATGTATCACCGCAGTTGGGTAAACATTCTTTTTATTTTTGTTTGAAGGGCTAGAGATAGAAGCAAGAACCTTGCATATCCCCATCAAAAGCTCTATCCTGAGCTACATTACCAGTATATTTGTATGTCTCTATGTTCCTGTGGATAAAGTCATAGCCTGCTGCATGCTAACAGACAAGCACTGCTAACCAGAGCTCACATTTTACCTTCTGGTCTTTTTTTTTTTTTTTTTAAAGGTTCCCCAGCATCATAATAAAAGTAGAAAAAAAGGGAAAAAAGGAAAGAAATAGAAAATAAGTGAAAATGGTCATTAAGCCTCTGAGGAGAGGTGCTTTATTCAGCTTTGCATGATATCCCCGACGTGCCTAGCAGTCTGTTCTGCCCATGACAGGAATCCAAGCATTTTCAAATCTGAACTGTACTCGGCTCTAAGAGACCACTGACAATACCTATTCCAGCTACCCTCGTTTTTACATGAGAAAACGGACTCGAAATGGTTAAGTAACGTACTCAGCACAGTTAGCTGGTGACAATTGAGACCAGGCCTGGTCTCTTCTCCCCTTGTCTGTCACATCATGCTATCTTTCAAGTAATTACTTAAATTGTGATTCACGAAACAGTGGGATTTTTTCCCTTAGTTGTCTAAATGCAGGTCAGTGGGACAGCTCATGGCCCTAGCAATTGCTTGCTTACCAGACTTTCACAAGACAAGGAGAGGTGGGGTGGAGGATGAGACAAAAGGGACAGTTTCCTCTTGAATCCAAAAATTACTAGGCAATGCCAAGGACAACATCAGAAATGCAACAGCCACTTTGTCATTCCCTCAGGTTCAAAATCATACTTCAATCTAGGGAAAAAATACTTGCCCCTCTGCAAAATACAGATGCTCAATTTGTGGCAAAGCATTATCAAGCCTTCAGCTGTGCTTGAAAAAAATGTTTGGGGCTAATATTACTTCTCTGTACTGTATTAATGCCCTTTCTGTGGGGGGTCTCAAAATTTTCTTCAGATGAATTGTCTATTTACAAAAGTGAAATGTGATAGCTTCAATAGCTTCATTAGGTGTGCCAACCAGCCCTCATTATCACAAGATTTTACTTTAAACTCCTTGGTGTCTTGTTCACACGAAGAGACAAACATCCTGTCACTAAAATGAAAGGAGTGTTTTTTTTTCTCCTTATTTTCTCAAACCTCTGCTTTACCTAACTAGGCTACAAACCATTGCTCTTTCTTTCTTTTTAGTCACTGTAACGCGTTTCAGGCAGCTTTAAAAACGGAAAACACTGTAACAAATCCAAACCACTTAATAAGATATGAGCGCACCATATAATCCCAAGTTATTAGATAAACTGTGATTTCTTAAAGCAAACCCCTGTTAATGCCAGGGTTCCTAAACTCGGCATAGAAACAGCAGCTCTTAGATACAGGTGTCAAGTTACAAGCCTAATTCAGGGGGTTCAGTTCGACTTGCCTTGATGGAAATTAGCCAGGGCAAGCAACCTGTCAGCAGATCCAGACGGTTTCTACATTCTCTCTCAAAACTGGACAACACAGCCCCCAGGTAGAGAGTGCCCCTTTCTCAGACATGGCCAGAGTATGAGGTCAAACTTTCCCTCCATCTAGGGAGCCAAGACATTGTGAAGAAAATAAGACCTCAACCCCTCAGTTTGGAGTCCAGATGAACTCGAACTGGCACTTTCGGGAAGACTTCTTGCCCAGGGACAAAGCTCTGAATCCCACACTCCGTCCTCCCCAGTCCTGCTCACCTGAGCACATGGATCAAGGGAGCACTGTTGGACCGTCTCAGGGTGCCCCCATCAGATGTGTCAGCCTCAAAATCCAGCTCCATTTTCTCCTGAGCCATTCGGAGACTTGCTAGCCAGCACAGCCAGCGGTGCTCAGCTCCTGGTGCTTTGCTATGGACTCACTGCAGGACTGAGCTGCTGGGGACTGGCAGCTGGGGGCGGGGGCTAATGGGCGGAGGCTTGGGCGCGAGGGCGGAGAAAAGTAGGGGAGGAGGATGCAGATGAGGCAGGATGTGGGAGTGGGTAGGGGGCCAGAGGAGGATTGAGAGCTTCTGTTGGGAGGGGGACAGGATGAAGAAAAAAGGATGGAGGAAAGACAAAGGCGGGAGAAAGAAAAAGGCACCGAGGTTGGTTGATAAAAGATAGATGGAAATGCAGTGTATAGGATAAATGGAAGAGGACATAAGTGGGAAAAGAGGACAAAGGTCAGAAGGAAGAGGCGCACAGGGATGGGAAAGGAATGTATGGAAAGGACGGGATGTATGGAAGAGGAAGGCACAGAAGGAGAATAAAGGGGAGGAAACCAGGCAGTGGCAGAACTCATGCTGTCATTTTTCCCGCCTAAGACTGCAAGCGCCGCTCGGCGACAATTCCTCTGGCTGCCTTTGCAGCGCTAGCAATGAGGACTTGACAGCTGGCCAGGCGGCCTCGGCAGCTCCACCTCCACATGCTCAGGGTCTCTGTCCAGTCCGCCATGCTCCAGGACCCGGCCCCCAGGGCCCCTCAGCTCAGGGATGGCGCCTTTCACTCCTTGGCCCCCACCCGCCTGCAGGACTCGGAAAAGGGGTCCGCTGTCTGCGCCACGGCAGTGCTGCTCCTTCCTCTTATTGGGTTTAAAGACCTGCGGTACCCGCTGGAGCTCAAACTGAATTCTACAATCTGCCTCTTCTTTTGCCTCCCACGCTTCAGAAATGGGAGCCTCCACGGGGCCAGTTCTTCCGCATCTTGTCGCCCATTGGGCATCGCGCATGCGCCTGGCAGCTGCTCCAATGGACCTGCGAGCAAGGCGCATGCGTAAGAGCCTCGCCCAGCAACCCGCCTTCAAAGGGGAGGGGCGTTTCCAGGGGGGCCCAAAATCTTCCTGCGTGGCATTGGTCCGGGAACCCTGGCGCCGTATTTCGAAAAGAGCCAATCGTTTAGAGACTGAAGTATCAGTTTTTAGAGTAATATTCAAGAGAAAGAGATTTTCACATTATTTCACTCCAAATTTGTACTCTGACCTCTGTGATCCTCAGTCATTTTTCTACTATGCATGTGCATGTGTGCATGCGCTCCCAAGGATGTCACAGAAGGCTTCTGGATCCCCTGGAGCTGCAACCAAGGTGGTTTGAGCTTCCCAGCTTGGGTGCTGGGATTGGAACTCTGGTCTTCTGTAACAGCAGCAAGCACCCTTAACTTCTGAGCCATCTCTTAAATCCTCTTACTCATTTATTAGATTCCTCGGTTTTGTTGTTGTTGGTTTTTTGGGTTTTGTTTTTGTTTTTGTCTACCAAGGTCTGATTTCTTTTTCATATCATCTGTTTTAGCTGCAATAGGCAAAAATAAGAGACTCATTTTCTTCCCAAGGCTTAAGAAGATTCTAAGAGTCATAATATGATGCATGTGAGAGCTAGAATTGTTGAAAAAGCCCCCACATGGCACAAACTACATGCTAGGCAGCATTATAACAACTGTAAAAATATTAAATCATCTCATTTTCATCACTGAATATCCCTCCCAAGATGCTGCATCCTTTCAATCATCCAAAGCTACAAAGTAAGGGAAATATAATTATGAAATTAGTTTGAAGATATAGCAAAATAGAGCTAGAGAGATGGCTGAGTTTTTGAGAACACTTGCTGCTCATCCAGAAGAGCCAAGTTAGCTTCTCGGCGTCCATTACAAGCAGCTCCATTAACCTCCAGTAACTCCAACTCCAGAGCACTCCACACCCTCGTCCCATAGGGCATCCATAGTGGTGTGACATAGATTCACACACACACACACACACACACACACACACACACACACAATTAATTAAAATGAAGTGTTTTTATTTTAGGAAAAAAAATAGAAACCAAAAAAAAAAAAATGCTCAGTGATTAAGAGCATTCGCTGTTCTTGCAAAGAACAGTTCAGTTTCCACCAACCAAATCTAGCGGCTCACTTACCTATAACTTCAGCTCCAAGGGATCCAATGTCTTATTCTTGCATATGCGCACACTCATGCAAGCTCGCTCACACACGCAACTAAATAAAATAATATTTTATTTAGCAAAAATAATTTCTTTGTCTCCTCAATTCAATTGCTTCAAATTAAAGTTACCACACACAATTGTAATTTTACATCTCAGCATGGCCCACGTTTGAGGCAAAGAAGACAACTGGAGAATGTCAACCCACTCTTTTCACCATGTGGGGTCCAAGTATTAAACTCAAATTGTCAGGCTTAGCAGCAAGCTCCATTACCTCCATGATCCATATTGCTGGCCTTATTATGAAGACTTACAAAGAACTTTTGGACAGTTTATTACTTTTTCCGGTAAAATTATTTAATTAGTATTTACTCTTTAGTAAAGCTTATTGGAATGTTAAAGACATCAGGCAAATTAAATTTAGCTGACTTTATTTAACCAAAGAAATGACTCATGGGTTGTGCAAAACCCTGAACTGGTGAAGGTTCAGAAAGCACACCCCCCCAACCATTTCATTTAATCTGCCAGGTGCATTAAAAACATGACCTCAGCAATGGAAGTCAGGGCAGGAGGATTGTGACATCAGGCCTACTTGAGTTACATTTAGAGACACTCTGAACCTCTCTTAAATAAAACAACAGAAACAAAGATAAATCTCTAACATTACATGTTATTGCCATTGCTCCTTGTTCCTTGTTAGCCTCTCAGACTTGATGGTAGGATTCTATTGCTGAAAATGCCAAACACAAGAGTCTAGAGTCATAGAACTAGAGCAAAGTTTGTATCTATTTATATCTCAAGATCTCAACAATGACCATTCCTCTTGCTAAATAGTTTTCTTCTCAATGCCTACATTGATGATCCCTAGTTGTGAGAAGTCAAACAATTTAGCTGACTCTTGAACTGTTGAATTTTTTTTTTTTTTGGAGAAATGTAGAAATCTTTGGGACTTTGAACTAGAAAAATCAGTTGAACACTATAAGTAGAGATTAATGGGTCATATTGCTAGGATCTTGGAAGATGGTAGTGGTGAGAGCAATGTGGAATGTGAAGGTCCAACTCAAGATGTTTCATATCAGCATCTGGGTTAAGACCATTCCTGTGATATGTTGGGAAAGAATGTGGCTGCCTTCTGCTCTTGTCCTAATAATTTGCCTGAGAATAAATTATAAAATAATGAACTAATGTCTTTGGTGGAGGAGGTTTCAAGAAAGTTCAGTATTGACTCTGTCACATGGTTGTACATAATCATTCTTATGCAGGTCTACAATGAAAAAGAGCAAGGTGGAGGGGGGGATGCAAAATATACAGCTTGAGAGAGAAAGAGAAATTTGATGTTGGAGCCAAGGCTTCTGCTGAAAGAGATAAGGAGATCAAGGTGAGGCCTGACCCATATTGGCATAAAGTGAGGAGTGACCCACTGAGATAATCCAGAAATGTATGAAAAGGCCTAAGAAAGTTTCTGTCCCTAAAAAGCTACAACAAATCAAAGTGGTTACAAATATGATTCAAGGTATTCATGGTTAAATCCAAATTGGTAGCCAAACTTGGAAGTGTTAGTCACATGGTTCTGACCTTAGAGTCATTAAGGATACACAAGTAAAAGTTTTATAGAATCATCCTTCACGGTTAAGGAGGATTTTGAGGCCAGGCATATGGCAGAGGAGTCCTTGCACGGAGGCCTTGAAAGGCCATTGTATGAAGCTATAAAAGGAGAGGTTGGGTTATGTCAGATCCCAAGATGTTGAACATGTCAGAACCATGAGATGTCTGCCAAAAGAGCTCCATACAAGGAGTTGTATAAGTCCAAGAGAAAAGTGTATGCTGCAGTCAGCAAAGCCAAAAGAGTAGAGCCATCTAAGGGTTTTGGTCCAATATTTCTTCACTATGCCAAGTCCTTCCTTTTGGAATGGTAACATATATTCTATGCCATTATATGTTGGAAGAATATAATCTGATTTTTTATTTCATATGGGTTAGGATTAAGAGATTGCCTTGAGTTTCAGAGAGAATTTGAATTTCAGACTGTGAAAGAGTATTGATATTGAAAGACTGTGGGGACTTTTGAAGTTGGACTAAATGCATTTTGTGTTATGATATAGCCGTGAGCCTACAGAGGCCAGGGAATGGAATCCAGTGGTTTGAATGAGAATGACTTTGAGTTTTCAAAATTCTGTAGCTGTTCCCAGTGTGCTCTCTGCTTCCTTCTTTCAGATCAACATGTGACCTCTCAGCTGCTCCTGGTATCATGTCTTTGTTCCACTATCATGAACTCTAACCCTCTGATATGACAAGCCCAGTTAAATGCTTTCTTTTATAAGTTGCCTCGACCACAGTGTTTCATCCCAACAATAGTAAAGTATCTAAGACAGTGCAAGTCTTTTGAAACCTCATTGCTCTCCCCTAGTGACACACCTCTAACCAGTGCACACCTTGTAATCCTTCCCGAACACTTCCACCAACTGGAGACCAAGTATTCAACATATTAGTCTATGGGGGCCATTCTCATTCATTCAAACTAGCACAGTTAATCCTGTAACACTTTTGTTTCTATTGTACCAGGGGGTATACTTTCACAGGCTGGTCATTATTGTAGTTCACAGGGCTCATTGATGGGTAGGAGTGATTGAATTTCTCCCACGGTAATATGCATAGTACTTTCCACCACTATGAAAGTTAGCCAGTAAAGATGGAGTCAATACCAGCTTGATTGCCCTTTGTCCTACGATACCAGTATGTAGTGTTTTCAGCAACAGGGTCTTACCATCAAGTTCTGGAGGACAACCAGGAGCAATGGCAACAGCTTGTAATGCTTGAGATCTCTCTCTCTCTCTCTCTCTCTCTCTCTCTCTCTCTGTGTGTGTGTGTGTGTGTGTGTGTGTGTGCGTGTTTATATACCTAAGCAGGCCATAGATATCTATTGACTTCCTCTTGTGGGAACTAAAGGTTGAACTGTAGCTTTAAGGTTGCTGTGACTACTGACCAAATAAGGAGCTGATTATGACACGTCTGTGGGACACCTTTTTCAGATGAGGCCACTGGCAGTTAGGCGGCAGACTGGGACATACAAAGCAAAAGATAGTGTCAATTTTAATCTGAAGGTCCAAGCAAACCACTTATCTGAGACCATGGCCTGTTGTGGAAAAGAAAACACCGATTGTGAGTATAGAT